TGAGATTATAGGCATATGCCATCATGTCTGATTCACCATTTTATTAGTGGTGTGGAGAGACTGAACTCAGAATCTTGCTAAATTTACCAGTCTGGCCTCAACCTTAAGATCCTCCTGCCTCTGCTTCCTAAGTAACTAGGGTTACAGGTATACACCACAGTGCCTAGCTTCACTATTTGAAATGTTAGAAAATGTCTATCTCTCATAGACTCGTATAGCCACACAATGACTTACCTGACATAGCTCCTGATTATCAGCTCCTCCTCCCTCCCTTTTCCCTTGTCCTTGGTGCTGACCCTGGGCAGCCTTTGGATCCTGTTACATCTAACTTTTCAACCTGTCTCTGGTTTGTCCCTTTCTCCCCATCCATCCAGCAACGATGAGCTTCACTTGGCTTAAAAGAAGTCCTTTAGTTCCCCTGACACTTTGCCTCGTCTCCAGAAGACCTCAGGCCTCTGTGATGCCCCCCATTTCAGTGGATTCTCACAGTTTTTCCTGTCCTTCCCTCCTGCTCTCCTCCAGTTTTACAGTGAGTCAGGCATGCCTACCAAACACCTTTCGGACAGCGTGTGTGCTGTGTGTGGGCAGCAGATCTTTGTGAACGTCAGTGAAGAGGGCATCATCGAGAACACATATAGGCTGTCCTGCAATCATGTGTATCCTGCCTTAAGCTCCTGGACCACATCCCTCTTGAGACCGCCCTCCATTCAGGGAGGGAAAGTGGGTGGTTGTGTTCCTGAGCATGCTGTACAGACCTTTGAGTGCTGGAGAGCCACAAGAGGCTTGAAACTGCAACTGTCCTCCTCCTGTCCCACAGACTGCAGCCTGTCTTAGTGCATGCAGTGGTTATAGACTGCCTAGGTCAAAGAGAGCCTGAGGCTACACTAGTGAGGCTGAGCTCACTGAACCAAGATTGGATGTCCCAGGGGTGGAGGATCCTCTAATAGGATCCTTCAGTTTGGAATCAGATTTATTCTGAGTAACACTAGTAATATTTACCAAAGGTGTTTATTCAGCTCTCATTTTCTGCCTATGTTGGGAGATCCACAGCTTATCTCCATTTTGCCCCTTAATAACCCTGTAAGATCTGACGAGGGACGTGCCCAGAATTACACGGCTGATAAGAAACGAAGCCAGGCTTTGAATCTTTCACCAGAGCTGGTACAAGGCACCTTGCAGACTAGCAGGGGCTGAAGTTTCATCCTGGTTTCCCACCATTTCCCTTGACCTGTGGTGTTCAGATTCCATGAGTTCTGCATCCGTGGCTGGTGCATTGTTGGAAAGAAGCAGACGTGTCCCTACTGCAAAGAGAAGGTAGACCTGAAGAGAATGTTCAGCAACCCGTATCCTTTGTTTGGGTCCTTGTGGGAAGTGGATGGTGGGAAAAAAGTACTGGCCAACATGACTCTGTGTCTGGATCTCTCCCTCCTGCCTTCAACCTGGAACATATTCAGCATTCAGTTTGGCTTCTCTTCTAGGGAAGTTAGGGGTGTGACATGAGGCAGGATTAACTGCTCACCTTCCCATTATAAACTGATAGTAATAGCTGCTGTCATTCACCATTTCCTTTGTGGCTCGTGCTGTGTTAAGTACTTCTCTTGCATTAGTTCATTTAGTTCCTTAGCAACTTTATGACCTGAGTTCCCCTTTTTCTGCTGCATGGTTCCCTGTCCCTTCCTCTCTATACACTAGCTCAGGTACACAGGGAACATTATGTTCCTAGTGTACTCATTATAGTCCCAGAACAGGAGATTCTGGCCTCTTCCCTTTCAGGTTTCCTGCTTGGTTCTTCCAGGGCCCCGCTCAGGAACAAGCATAATTCCACGGCCAAGCTGAGGCTTGAGACTTCCCTTATTTTGCAGAGACCTGGGCCAAGCTAATCTCTCCAGTGTTTTTAGAGGGATCCCTCCACAGTTTCATGAGCTTCTCTGTGCTTTCCTCAGAGCTGGCCTTCCCAGGCCCCCCTCTCCAGACCCCCTGCCCAGCATTTAGATGTAAAACAAAAGAAAGGAAACCCATTTCCTGGCCTTATCAGGGTTTCGTTCTTAGTACCCTGGATGGCTCCTCCTTAGAGTCTCTGCCAAGGATGATTCCCTCGTGACTAGCCTCTGTCCCTGTTCCCTTCTCATTCTGACCCTGGACTCAACCCCTTCCTCAACAGAGACAATCTTCAATTTTGGACATTAGAAGAATATTCAGGTTACCCTATCCCACTCTTTGCAGTTATTGTCACCAACACATTTATAGAGTATCTAAAAATGCCAGGCCGTGTGTTCTCACACTGGCAATTCTATCTTAGAGTGTTGCCTGGAGCCCCCCCCCCCTGCATGTTGGTCATGGAGGGCCATTTCACCCTTTTACTTCTCTGATGTCTGTCCTGTCTGCCCCACAGTCTCCTCTGTCTTCCTCCCCTATTCTCTGGGTTTAGATGACTTCACTCCAATATGGAGAGTTACAGAGAGGATGGGCAATTTGCAGAGCAGCTGGAAGGTGTGGTAGACCCAGGAAAGGCTGGGGACTCCTTCCTCCCATATGAGATGAACTCGTAGCTCTTGGATGTATGCATCTGATCCTTAACCCATTGACAGCTGGGAGAGGCCTCATGTCATGTATGGACAACTGCTGGATTGGCTTCGATACTTGGTAGCCTGGCAGCCTGTCATCATTGGCCTGGTGCAAGGCATCAACTACATCCTGGGCCTGGAATAGTCAGGAACACAGCAGTGGAGAAACCACCCCACCCACCATGGACCTCAGGGCACTCTCCTCCCTGCCCATGAAGACCTCCTGGGTGGGAAAGACTCAAAGGGGCGCTTGGGCCACTCAGGACCCCTCCGGCTGTGTCCGGGCCGGGGAGGGAAATGATGGAGAGCCAGCCTGTGGGGCTGTCAGCAGTGGGGGGCTTTTTAAAAGAAAATTATTTTGATGAATATATTTAAAAAAACTTTTTTATTGTGGAGCGTAGGAGTTAAACGCCCCACCCCTTCGAGCCTCACCTTGCTTGAGTAACATGGGAGCACAGCCATGATGCTTTTGGTTTAAAGGAGTCTTCTCATCTCTGGCTGAGAGTGCTGGTGGGTTCTCAGGTAACAGAGAGCCTCAACCCACCCACTCCCTTTCCCTTGCCTTCCCTCTGCAGGGGTCAGCCTGGTCCACTCAGTGTGGAATGGTTAAAGAGCTTCAGTTGTTGCCACAGATGAACACTGAGGGTCCAAGTGTCTTCCCTTCTACCCTGTCTGATGCAGGATGGATGTTTTATCAACTCTCTCTCCCCCTGACTAGAAGCTAAAGGCGGGGTGAGGCAAGTGGAACCTCTTCAGTGACTCTTCCAACAAGGGAAGCCCTGGGGCCTCAGAATTCATTGACAGTGTGTTTGGGGACAACTAGAATAATCAACAGCATGAATAACCTGCCCCTGAGCATGACTGTAGTGAGGCAGGAAAAGAGGCCATCTATATATAGTTAGGCCACGGAAGCCCGGAAGTGGTAATGTGCTCCAAAAGCCACTCTGCCACATCACTTCCTTCCTGAAAGCCTGAGGGAGAATGAGTATGTGTTTGTATATTCGAGTGTGTGTATGTGTGCGTGCGCAGCAGAAGGGTATCCTATGTCAACTTCCCCCAGTCGTCAAAGACAAACTTCCGTGAAGTTAACAGGGGATTCCCAGCCCAGGGAATATCCCTGTGTAAATTCTGTCACTCGTGGGCCTGACAGTGGGAATGGTGGATGGGTGGGAAGAAGGATAAGGTCTAGGTGAGTTGTAAAAAGGGGCTTCCATCCCCCTTTTTCCTGAAGAAATCGTGAGGGCAATCCCGGGCTGACAGTGCTGGCTTTCTAGGGCAGAGGGGCTGTCAGGGCTGCCTCTTCAAGAAACAAGCAGGATCTTGTCACTCCCGTCTGAATAAAGCTCTGTGAGCTGGGTTGGAAAGCTGAATATCCATCTGGCTTTTCTTCTTCCTACTTCTTTCCCTGGGGTCCCTGGGGGTGTCTTCACTCTACTGCTCTCATCTGAGAGCTGGGGCCTGAGGGTGGTTGGTGCTGCTTTTTTTGCTGTTCCCCTTCCAACATCCCTGGAGTGGTAGAATGCTAGGCTTCTGACTGGTGACATTAGAAGCCTTGGAGCGTCATTGGGCCCCCTTTCAGTCTGAGGTGGCTCTCCATCCTCACTACCTGAGGTCAGTACCTATCACCACCCACCCTCCTCCTGCCACTCTGACCCAACGGTGGCTTTCCATTACCTCACTGCTCATGCTACCTGTGGGCGCACCATCAGAGGGGAACGAGGACTGGTTGAAGTGCTCAGAGATCACTCTTTCACTTTTATCCCATGGAAAACTTGGGAGAAGTCAAGGCCAAAGTTGTTTTTATTCTTAGTCCTGAGTCCCATGACTGCCCCAGTGGCCTGCCTCTGGTCTTGATGACATATCAGTGTAGTTTCTGGCTCCTCTCTCTGCCAGGTGGTTTTGCCTCTGGACCTAATTCCTAGAGATATAGTGAGGCGTTTCCCAGAAGCCTAACAGCAGAAGGTAGAGGGAGGAACTGAGAGGAGCAGAAATGTGAACTAGACATCTAGAGAAAAAGAAGAGGATGTGACTTTTGACATCATAAATTAGGAATATGAGTCTGATTTTTTTATGTTCCTGATGCATCCTCCAAGTCCAGTCCATCTCCCCATCCTCCCTGGCTATTATCACCAGCTGTCACTCTCCTGATCAGAAATCACAAACCTCAGACAGAGCTGTTGCACACACTTGATACATGCATATATTGTAGGATGGATCTGATCTGCCTTGCACAACACTGAGAGTAAATACTGCTTTAGATTTTGCTAACCCTGGTCCTGGCCCTGCCACTGCCACAACCCCAGCTCCCTTTATTCCATCAGAGATCGGAATGATATTTATGTAGCTCTCCAAGCTGCTAGAGCCTATGTTGGGCCACTGCTTCACCAGGAAGTGCCTTCCCCTCCTCCTAGGGCCAGCTTTCAGCTTATGTTAGGCTTGACTGTAAGATTTTCTGCAGACGAGAGGAAAGTACTCTTGGTGTACTTCCTGTGACGTGGCACATGGGGGTAGACACAGCTGAACTGGGCTTTGCAGCTCCGAGGAAGGAGCTTCTAAAAAGGAGGACTCTTCAGGACTTCTTGGGAGCCAGGTAGGGGGTATTTAGACTACTAGTGACCCTCGACTGTAGCTCTGGCCAAAGGTACTAGGACAAGGGAAGTGAGAGGGTTTGTGGGTGTGATAGAGGGTATTGAGTGATGTAGCTGGTTGGAGGTGAGGGAGCCTGAGAAAGACCAGGATGGTGATAAGCTGGTGAAGCATTAAGCCTAAAATGATTGGTGTTCCAATTTGGGGTTCTCAGTGCCTAGAAATGTTGTCCCCTTGATTATCAGTATGAATGTAAAAGAGGAAGCAGAGGCCTGCTCAACGGGAAACAAAGACATGGCTCTGAAGGATGGAGGGGAACACCAAAGTCCTGACTCTTGTCTAGGTCAAAATTGATCTATGAGAGAATCATCTGGTTCACACGTAGGTGACCTGAGCAACGAGATGTATATAAGACAACAGTTTGCTATTTGGAGAACAGGGGCCCAAGAGTTAATTGGATCATTTCTGGGCCCTGGAGCATTGGCGTAAGAAGGTGCAGTACCTGCCCCTCTTAGTGGCTTAGTGCCTGCTTTGAATCCCTGGTTAGAACAAAAGTGAAAGTGAAACGGGTGCTGGCCAGTACTTTCCCAGAAGGAGTTCACTGCATCCTGCCCTTCTCAGAACCACTCCTGACAGTGGAGAGAGCATCACCTTCCTTTGTGACTAGGTAAGTCCCTGGTCCCTCTTGGGGCTTGTTTCTACATCCCTAATGCAGGGGTAAGATTGGGCTAGATAGCCTTCACATTAATGTTAAAAAGAGTTGGGTGGGTCAGATTGTCACTAGTGATACCCAGCTTGTATCTGCATGTTGACATAGCTCCAGCCTGGGAGTCACTGGGACAGATGGACAGAGTAATAGCAGTGGCCTGGCAGCCCACTGAATATTTCAGACCCAAAGACCAGCTGTGGAGTTTATAAATCCTCATGTATGACTGGGATCTAGAAAGACTACTGAGAAAACGTAGTTGTCACCCACATTTCCCCATTCCTAACCCTTCCCCAGAGAGGAAGAAGTCACAGATATATAGAACCTGAGCTTGCCAGCTCCTCATGTACATCACGACCATGGGACAGAACTGGATACCAGGTGGGACTTGGGGCTGTGCATGGAGGGGAATTGGGTGGGGGTTGTGATCAGAAAGGAGCAGTGCTACCATCTACACCCCAGGTGAATTCCACCCAAGTCAAGAGTGCTATTACTGGTATGTCTGTGTGTGTGTGTGTGTTTTGCTGGGGATTGAACCCAGGGCCTTGCAAGGCAAGCACTCTACCAACTGAGCTATATCCTCACCCCATGAGTGTTGTTACTCTTAAGTTTCTATCTAGATACTGTGGCTCTGGCTCCATTCGAGGGCTTCTTTGTGCTTCATTCAAAGGCCTAAAGGGTGGGAGCCGAGGAGTCTGCCCCTTGGATTCCCTGAATCTGGGTCACAGTCTTTACCCAGGCAGCAATTCCATCTCTGGTCAAGACAGGAGCTGACTCGGTGACTGTCCTCTCCTTAGACTCCAGTTCTTTGTGGGTACTGCTTCTGTATCTCCACATCGTCACTCTTTTGGCTGGAGCCACACCTGTTCCTCAGACTATCGCAGCTGCTACTGCCTCAGCTGGGATCTCCAAGGACCCTAGCCCCTCTAGGTCTCCAACACTTCCACCAGCTAAGAGGTGTCCAGCATTGGAGGTGACCTGGCCAGAAGTGGAAGTGCCACTGAGTAAGGAGCAATTATGTTAGGATCCCAGGACACTGGCCAGAGGGTGGAGATTATCCACGGGGTTGGGTTGACTCCAAAGTTAACTTTTCACCTGCTGTGTATCACTAGCCAGGCCAGCTTGGCAGAGTGCTCACCATTCTGACCCCCAACCTGGCATCATGGTGTGGGCTCAAGGCCCAGTTCCCAAGACGACCCCTTTCAAAGGGGACAGAGATAATTCAGACTCAGAATTGTTGTAGGTCCTCAAGGGCCTTGTTTGTAAATGTACTCTAAGGTGCAGCCCCTCTCCCCAGAGCCTGCCTTCCCTTTGGCCATCTCAGAAGAGCATCAGCCTGCTAGCACTGAGCACTTGGCCTAGGGCGCCTAGAATCTCAGAGCCCGGGCACTGGAAAAGGTCATCCTGAAGAAGAGGCTCAGAAGTGGAATATGTGACCTAGGACCCTTCCCCACATACCCATGCGTAGGCCTAGATAACTGTACTTCCCCTTTATAGGCTTCCTTGCCTTGGTGGGGTGCACAGCAGCCTTCCAGGTTCCTGATTTATGTGTCCGTGAGGAGCTGGCAGGGTGGGGAGAAGGGAGAGCCTGATCTGCAGAAGGGCTAACAGCCACTTGTATCCCCAGATGGAACGCTGACCTTGTCCTGTACTGCCTGCAGCCACTTCCCCGACTTCAACATCCTATACTGGTTGGGCAATGGTTCCTTCATTGAGCACCTCCCAGGCCGGCTGAGAGAGGGCAGCACCAGGTGACAGGGTGGTGAGGCCAGCGGGAGGGAGGGCTCCCGCTGCAGCTCTCACACACAGCTTTTCTTTCCCGTGTTCCAGTCGAGAGCCTGGAATTAAAAGCACTCGACTGTGGAGATCCTTGGTGCTAGAGGAATTGAGCCCTGCCCTGCGAAACACCATCTTCTCCTGTGTGTTTATGGACCCTGGGCAGGTTGCCCAGCATCATATCATCCTGGCACAGCTCTGGGTGAGGAACCCAAGGGAGGCTTCCAGAGACATGTCGAGCTCCACTTCTGTGTGGGGAAGAAAGGAAGGGAAGGCCCATCAGAGAAGCCTCCAAGTTAATGCCCCCATTTTCCCTAAGGTCAGCCTGAGGCAGAAACAAAAAGGACTTGAGGACTTGGGCAGGGGAGGCATGGCCTGAAGGAAAATGACCAGATGTCCTTCCATTCCTTAACCCTGATCCTTGTCTGCCTTTACTTCTCCAGGCTGGGCCGAGGGTGGTCCTGCCTGGCTCTCAAGAAGCCCTGCCTTCCAGCCAGAGCCCAGGTCCCCAGCTGCCCACATCAGCAGGGTCAAGAGTGAGCACAGGGCCAAGAATAGCACCACCGTGAGCAGAGCCTGGACACTTCCCACCTGGAGGGCGAAGTCTTGGCTGCAGGCTGTGGGCGAGCAAGCGGCTCCTCTTCTCAGATTCAAACGTCCTTCCCACCCACCTAGAAAATCCCAGTGACCTCCCCTTAAGGCTCCCTCCTCCAGCTTGCCCTTCTCTTCACCTGTCTCATTGGCTTTTCTATGTCCTACTCATCACACATATCTCCTGCTCAGAAACCTTCAAGACCTGTCCAGCACCTTAGCCCAAGACTCACATGTCCTGCCTGAGCACCCTTCCTTGTTTCTAAGATGGCTCCCACTCATGTGCCTTTGCGTCCTTGGTCCTGTCTTCCTTGCTATTCCAACAGGTGACCCTGGGAGACTGGTTGAAATGCCGCCTCTTCAGTGATGGCCACACACAGCTCTGGCCACATGTGGCATTGATTTCATGTTGCCTACATGTATATATTATTTTTTCACCTTAATGAACTATCCCAGGGAAGGGGACAGTGGCTGCTTCTGATCCCCAGTCATCCCCAGCAGGACTCACAATAAATCCTCATAAAGGATTATTCAATGGAGGCATCTTGACATCTGCTTAGTCATTTAGACCTCAGTTCCGCTCACAGGAACTTTGCCTGTCTCAGGAGGGAGCATGGGAAGAGAAGGACTGCCACTTAGAAGCCTTAAAACAAAACCAGATTTAGAGATCGCAGGCCCTCAAGAAGCCTTGCCTCTGGCTCTCAAGAAGCCTTTTTAAAAAAGAAAAGAATTGCTCAGGAACAGAGGCCAGAAATGGAGTATGGGAAGATCCTGGGGACAGAGGAAGGCTCCAAGGAGCCTAGATTTCCCTCATTCCATACAGATCAAGGCTGCTTAGCACTCAAGGGAGAAAAATAGACTTTATTTACAAGAAATAACATTTAAAAAAAGATCCATCCCAGCCCTTAAAAACCTTCCAATCACTCCAAATCCAACCCCAGTGCAAGTCTGGGGAAGGTAGGGTATGTATGAGCTGCTGTTTAAGGCTGCCCTCCCACCCCACCCTAGCCCTGAGACCCAGGGCCCATTTGTCCTGGAAAAGAACATTCCTTGGGCATCTGTGCCCTTGTGGAAGAGAGCAGGGGCTCCTACTAGGTCATGCCCAGTCTTCAAGAGCAAGGCCCCACCCCTTGCTAGTCCCCAGCCACGGAGAGATACAAAGGCCAGGGCCTGCTCCTCTGGTCCCCTCTAGGCTGGGAGTAGAGTGGCTGGGCCCAAGGATACAGCCACTCAAAGCCAGCCTTATATCTGGTTATGATAGAGAATTGACAGCTCCAACAACAACAAAAAAAATTAGGAGGCAAGGTTGGGAGAGGGCCCACACTGTCAAAGCTTGGAGCCTCCTGGGCCAGCTCTGTGAAGGTCCAGGTATAGGCCAGGGTGTGGGCAGGCATCACTGTCTCTAGGGGTTTGGCCACTATTGGCCTGGGAGCTGAGAGAAGGCACTGAGAGGGACAGTAGAAGGAAAAGGACCAGGAGAGGTCAGCATCAGGGTACACAGGTGGGGCCACTCACTGGTACTGGCCTTTAGTGCTTTGCCTGAAAAAGAGAGAGAGTCACATGGTGAAAAACCCTTCCTCACCCAAACACCTGACTGGGATTCCTTCCTTCATGAATCTGGACACATCTAGCTTCAATTTACCAGTTTCTGGCCCTACTTAAGCAGCTCTGGGTGTTGTCAGTGGAAAGGGGGTTGACCTAGCTCCCCTCTGACAATAAGCTGCTATTACCAAACCCAGGGACACTTCTTAACTCTCCAGTGGCCTGACTTGGCCCTGCCCTGCGCTCCTGCTCCTATCAATACTTCTACCTTGCCCTTGGCCCGAGGGGTGGTAGTGGCCGCAGAAGCAGTGGCAGCACTGGCTGTGGTGGTGGCAATGCGTGGAGAGCGGCGGGTTCCACTGCGGGTATTGGGGGAGGCCTTGGACTGGGCCTTCTTTGAGGCTCCTCGTCGTAGAAGACTATTTCCCAGCTTCTTAGGTGTGTTGAGGATGTTGAAGGCCATTGACTGACGCCGGTCAGCCTGTGGAAGAAGGTCAAACTGGGAATTCACAGCTGCCTTCCCGGCCAGCCTGCTACTCCAAGGCTCAGCCAGCAAGGCTTTGCTAGTGTCTTCTGTCCCCTCCAATCCCGGTCTAACCTGTTTTAAAACAGCTGGAGCTTTCTTCTGGGCCTCAGTAGTGCTCTGTTTGCGCCCTTCATGTCGGTCCCGGGGAGTCATGGGGCGTGGGAAACAGCTGGTGGCCTTCTTGGACTGTGGGGAAGAGAATATGACATCCCAAGCCAGGTATCTTGGGTTCTTAGAGCCAAGACTTCGTCAACCTGTTCCCTTTTCCATGGCCCCACCCATGCATCAGGCCTTTGGAAAGAAACCTCCCCTTTAATTCACTTCTCAAACTGGGTTAGCTGAGCCTGACCTGGACACACTGCTATTCAGAACAAAACACAGAAGCCACTGTCACCTACCTCAGGGGTGCCAGGGCCCTGGTGGCTCTCTAAAGAGACCCGTTTGCGCTGCTGCCGTGTGGTGATACCAGTGCCCTCAGCAATCTGGGTTGGTTGCATGCTGGCTCGGCGCAAGGTCTCCCGGGGGTCTCCGGTTTTCATCTCTTCATCTGTGATGGTGCCCAGGCTCAGGGAAGGCTGCAGGAGGTAGAAGTTGTCAGTGAGCCCCAGCTGTACAGAAATGGAACAGGAACTGGGCCTACCTCAGAACTTTTCAAATGCCTGACACTTGGAATGACTGGATCCTTCCTACCTTAAAAGGCGTCCCCCTTCCTGTTATCTACCTGTACCCCAGAAAAATAGGCAGGAGTTCCATACAGACTCCTCTCTGAACTCCTACCCACTCACAGTGATTTAATCCTGAGCTGCTACAGCTGCTGGCCATTCCATATGGAAGCATGAGGTGGTCACCCTCCTCAGCAGGAGAGACCCAGGACACTAGAGTGTAGGAGTTACTGCACAGTGACCCCCAAGGCTCACCCTGGACTCCAGTGGATAGCAGGTCTTCAAGTGTGGGGGGCATACTCGGTTGCGCTGTTGTAACTCTGCAATGCGGTTCCAGTCATCCATCTGCTCAGGCTCATCCTGGCAAGAACCCATGTAGAAGCTGTTCCTTCCTGTGGAGGGCAGAAAAGTTGTCAGGAGCTAGAGTCAGCAAATTCCCCACTGGCCCTGATACTTTCAGATTCTCCTGCTAGTGTTCCCTTCCACCTACCCCAGGGACTTCAAATCTAATACCAATGCTACAGGGACAGGAGTGAGACATGCTGACCATTTCAATCATGAGGCCTTGGTTGCTGCTCTCTCCCTGGGAAGGTCGTTTACAGAGGATAGGATTACATACTATTCACTTGTCAAAGCTTGGTGTCTCACACCAGGAGAAACTAATTAAGGGCCAGGAATTAATACCTGGAGGAGTGGAAGGAGTTCCTGGAGCCCAAATAGCAACAACATCCAAGAAAATTCTGGCCAAGCTAGCCCTTCCAAGAGCCCATCACCAGCTGAGGAGGGCTTCTGACAGGTAACTGTCACTATCATGTCACTATCATGTGTGAGCACCCCTGGTTTGGACTGTCCCAGCATTACCATAGCTGGACAAGCGAGATTCTGAGACTACAGAGAAGAAAGGCAGGTGGTACCAGAGCAGCAAGGAAGCAAGGGGGCCAGCCTGGGGATTCTAAAAGCTTGCCTCTTTTTCTTGTACCAGGATCTACTTCTAGTCCTCTTACCTGGTGGGGCCCCACTGGACACCCTGGCCTGGGAGCGGCGAGCAGAGCTTCGAGTGGTGGGTCGGTAGCCAGGCAGGCTAAGCAGAGCTGAGTTGCCATCATCAGGAGAGCCCAGGCTGGGTAGAGACTGAGTTGAGGAGGCAGGCCGCAGGGTGGCCTGGGAAATAGGGGCGGACTGTGTACTGTAGAAGGATGAATTGGCACTGTCTGGTTCCTCCACATCTAGCTTCTGCAAGAATATGAGTTGTGTTGATAAAGCCACCTCCCATTCTCTCCTTGAAGCCCCACACCCCACTGCCCCTCAAGGGCCATGCATGTCTACAAATGAGCAGAAAGCCTTTATAAGATGCTGAGCCTATCAAGACTCTTTTCTATCCATTTTTTTCTCCATGAAGTCCTCTAAGGGAAGGCAGGCAGAGTTATCAATCCATTTCAGAGGTACGGTATAAAGAAATAAAGTAACATCTCAACTAGGAAGTAGGTGAACTAGAGCTAGAACCCACAGATCCTGGGATGCATCATACACTCAGCCTTGGCCTTCAACCTCTGCTGTCCCTTAGGGTCCAGAATTCCTGGACCCCTACCATCTTCTATAACTTCTCTGGCTTCTTGGTAGAAGGCACCTTGCATACAAAGAGCCACCTGCTGCATAAAGGCACCTCTCCTCCCAGAGAAAAACAAGGGCAAGAGCCCAGGCCTGGGCTGCAACTTCCCATCCTCTCCTTTCAGCCTGCAAGGAATCAATGCTAATCAATGTCTCACATGAGGTGGACACTAACCTTGGAGTTAATTACACAGGGGTCTAATTCAGCTCTGCCCTTTTCTACAGAAAACTCCTAAGTAAGTCACTGCCCTTCGGATCTTTCCTAAGGGAAAGATACAGCTTTTTCATCTGTATATTAGGAACTGGTTGGTCATCGTGCCTCATTCCTGAATGAGGACCTAAGGGGAAAGATGCCTATGAAAGGAAGTAGGAATTACTGTCCTGGAGCCCTATTACCAGCAGCCTGACCTTGGTCATGGTAATGTTGATGATTTGTGTTGTACGCCGACGAGCAGACCGGGTCTTACGGCCAGAGTCCAAGAAGACATCCCCCAGGGAGTCTAGACTGCTCTCCAGGGGGGCCTGACCTCGAGCAGGGATGGGGGTGAAGTAGAGGCTCTCCAGGGATTCCACCTTGGGGGGCAGGCGCTGGGAGATGGGTGAGGCTGGCTCTCCAGGGATGCTTGTGCCATCAGGCTGGGTACGAGGCATCTTGCTGTGGAAAAGAAAACTGCTCAGGCATGCTTCCTGGGTTGGCTATCACTTTGGTCCCCAGTGGCCATTTCTTGCATTTATTATAAGCAGAGGTTCAGAAAAGCCCTTGGCCTGGGCCCAGCCTTCAGTCCACTCCTGGGGCTTCTAAGTCCTCCATACCAGTGATTCCTGGGTCTCTGGGCTAAGCCTGCTCTTTAGGGCTTAGATATCCCATGGAGGCCACAGCTACTTCACAAACTAAGCCCATCAGGCTGATCTTCCTCATGCTTCTCCTGTTTCATTACGGGGGCACACACTTGCAAGGCCCCAGTCCTTGAACAGAGACACAGTCGTCCTTCTGCCAAGCCATCGCCACACTGCCTAAGCAGCTCTTCTCTCCACACTCCTCTCCATGCACATGTCCTTCCTTGGTCAACCTTGCCTCCTCTTACCTAGACTTTATAAAGAATGGCTTCTGAGAGAGTCAGCAGAGTAGTGGCAAGGACAGACTTGGGCCAGGCTGCCCAGGTTCAAATCCCAGCTCCACGACTGTGGGACCATGGACAAATGAATGGCCT